AGCTACTGTCGCTCTCCCCCCCCCCGCACCCAGGTCTCGGTCACACACGCCAGGTCAACATATTGTTCTTGTATAAAATCCCGAAGGGTTGTAGTTTTGTTATTAATAGACCTGGCATTAAACAGCACCAGTGGCCCAATCTGTGGATATCTAAATCAATGCATCAGGGCCATAATGACTGTACACTTGGAGGACCTCCCCCCAGATTTTCAGAAAAATCTGAAAACTTAAAACAAAATACAAAGGGGGGGTTAAATCCCACAAATAAAAGAGCATTGTCTATGCAAGCTCAGACACTGGACTTACCTACCTTCTTGACAGCCAGTGGCAGTGGAGTCCTGGAATCACATCAAGCCTGGCCATGGTGGTGGTGAAGTCCAAGAGCAGTTTCAGGCCCGGAAGTGGTGTGGCAGAGTCTGGAAGCCATGCCAGGCCGGATTTGGAGTGGTTTCTAGACACCACTGAAACTGTAGCCATGCCCAGAGGTGGCTGAAGAAGTATGAAGCCAAGCCAGTCTTGTTGATGGGGAGAGGATAGAATTGCCCCACAATTCTCATGTCTCCCATGTAAATGCCACAAAAGCCAGGGGACTGGAATTTAGCACACAGAGCACATTTTGCAGCCCAATCTCAGCTCATAAGATATTTCTATGGAAATAGTAGCAGAAAAATAAATCACCAGTCATTTAAAACAAGAAGATTAGGGTTTTTTTTCATCAATACTGTTTTTTGAAAAGGAAGTATTGGACATTCAGTGAACATTCTGTGTCTTTGAAGAAGGAATTTTTGTATTGAAAACTGAACATTGCATCTGGTGCAGCATTACCCCCCCCCCATCTTAAACCCATGGAAACACTATAAAATAATGAATAATTATAGAAAAAGTGATTCTGTATATATTATATTCTCACCAATGGTACTAGATTTAGCTTCCAGCATTCTCTTAACTTAACCATTTTCACAGTACCTGCAGTGCTTAATTGTTTTCACTTGAGGACTTAAAGCTTCTAAGCCTCCTCTGGCATTATACAACTTCTTGGTTTGCTATAATTAATTGATTCCCATCTGTTCCTTAGTCTTCCTCCTCTTAATGGTAACAACATGTATCTGCAAAGAATATGCACCAAACTTCATTTGTCTTCAGTGTTTATTGACAAGCCTTTGAGGGAAAAGAATGGAAAATAGTTCTCAGTAGTTAATTTGTAATCTATAGACAAATGCCTGAATTAATAAATTGATAAACTGTACCCAGCCTCCACAGTTCTAGTATCCTGCATTGCTTACACTCACAGATGTGTATGTAGGTGTAGTCTCAAAATTCTCCTGTAGGATCTTGGAAAGGCTTCGTATTTGTTGTTGTTGTTGTTATTATTATTGCTATTATTATTATTATTATTAGTTATGTGAATCTTCTAGGACAGCCTGGAAGAACTGCACAAGGACAGAAGCTACTTGATTCTTTCCGCCAGTCCTTTTTAGCTCCAAATTTTCATCATCAACACCTTTTAAAAACCCATACAGAGACAATACATTATTTTGATATATGAAAAAAGTAGTTTGGGATGACAATTTTGAACTGAAAAGAAAATTAGATTAAAGGAGTCTTCCACTGCCTGTTCCCCCCCCTGCCAGACACACCCTGCCCTCAACTGCTTTCAGTAAAACAGAAAAAAAGAAAAGAAAAAAAAAACAGAATCACAGAACTCCTTACAACATACAATTTGCCTCAGGGGTGTATGTGTGTGTATGTATGTATCTTTCCATTTTCTCTTTGAACCTCATCTGATATTAGCCCTAGATTGCATCAGTTGCTGATGTCTCAGTTTGAATTAATGAATTCTTTATCTCCATTCATATCTTACTATTTTGATAGTTAGGCAACTTATACAGGATGATAAAACACAATTAATTTGGAGATGCCCCCAACTTCTTTGGCATAGCAACATTCTGAGGTGGCACCCCACCCAAACACCAGTTCCAGTTAGTACTCTCTCATTTCTCTGTTGGCTGATAACTGGATGGACATTTGCAAGGCTGTAAGGTCTTCTTTTTTTCCCCTTTCCCAACTCCAAAGAGCTGGTTTCTTGATTCTCCCAAAGCAGAGAGAGAGAGAAGCCAGATGGAGACACTTCAGAAAGCTAAAGAAACAATAGTTAACTGATTTTATAAGTTGAATGGGATCAGATGGCCATCACTGATGGGTTTCTGCCTTCTTTGGTTACTCTGTTCACTATGTGGGAAGATATTCTTAGATACATTTTGTTGCATTTGTAAACTAACATTTTACCTACTGTTGACCTATATACAAGAGGTGAAAGGGATGTATTACTGTTAAAAAGCATGACAAACAAAAATTGATTAGGAAAGTAGAGGCTATCAGTCAGATTTTTATGATAAAGCTGCCAGTTTGGTGTAGTGGTTAAGTGCGCGGACTCTAATCTGGGAGAACTGGGTTTGATTCCTCACTCCTCCACTTGCACCTGGCTGGATGACTTTGGGCAAGCCATAACTCTGGCACAGCTGTTCTTGAAAAAGAGCAGTTTCTGTCAAGAGTTCTCTCAGCCCCACCTACCTCACAGGGTGCCTGTTGTGGGGAGGGGAAGGGAAAGGAGTTTGTAAGCCGCTCTGAGACACCTTTGGGTAGTGAAGGGCGGGGTATGAATCCAATCTCCTCCTCTCCTCTTAAAGATTAGTTGAAAGCAACAGGGGCTAGGCAGTGCAGCTGGGGGAGCTCCAGTAGCTGTATGGATTTCTTCTTGTATTCTAAGCCCTATTTCAAGGGCTGTTTTAGATGGCCTATGAATGGTTTGGGATTCATAAAGTGGAAGAATGCCTCCCCCCCACACACACACTAGTTACTGCCATCTACATGTAACATGTTCATTCAGTAATGACCTAGAGACAGAAGTAGTTTTAGTACTTTCATGAGTGGGAGGTGTAATATACAAATGCTTCAACTACCATCAATAATGGTAAAAGAAGGTATTTCTTCATATAATGCATGGAACAATGGAAATTGTTGCCACATGATGTAACCATGTTCAGGAATTTAAGTGGCCATAAATAAGGATTATACAAATTCATGGAGGATAAGTTTATCCATAGTTAAATGAAGCATCCTTGTTCAGAGGCAGTGTACCTCTCAGTATCAGTTGTGAGGACAACAACAGGGAAAAGCTTTGTCCTCGGTGCCAGGCCTGTAGGCCTTCTATGAACCATCCAGTTGGCAGAACCAGGATGCTAGGCCAGACTGATTTTAGGTCTGATTCAGCAAGACTGTTCTAGGTTGTTATAACTGCCATAGAAATCCATATGAACAAATGGTATGGGAGTAAATAACTGGTCCTTTCCCATCAGACTCTAACGGAGCCCTGTGTTTAAAATAATGTGTGAGCTGCTGCATCCTCCTACTTGTGTGGAAAGGCTCTACTCTTGTTAACAGAAAGTGCTGTCTTGTATAATACTGCTTTATATATCTCATAGCTGAGTTCTGCTTTGGTCAGAATTAGTTCCTCACCCCCTCACCAACCCATTCCTAAGAAGAGAACTGGGCAAACTGATTACCTTAGATCTAACCTGGGGCAAAGACTGGGGCAAACATCAGAGTGGCTTTCAGCCAGCCCCCAAGCACTAGCCTGCCAAGTGTCACTTCTCTGAGGCAGATTTATGCACGCACACCCCTACAATCTCCTAAATCATGAAAGAAACGTTTTTAGCCTGCTCTTGAAATGACATAAATAGATCATATCATGGTAATGGGCTTGCAGCTCAGCCCCCCTGGGAACTGGCAAAATGTACCTGTGCTTGTGACCTAGGCTTTGGTGGCTCCGTCAGCAATGTTCTTTCCACATTTAGAGTCAGAGCAATTCTTTTCAGTAAGACTCCTCAAAATGTGGGTCAGAGAATGTAGCTAGGGGTAAAAGTACGGAGTAACTCATTTTGGAGTTGATGGTGTCTGTTCTTCTGCAGCCTAATATTTCAGGGACATTCTTCCCTTGTGCCTCACAACTCTCTGCCCTTTAAATAAGGAATCGACCCCTAAAGAGGTGAAGCACCTCAAGCATTCTCACAGACACCCACACTGTAGGTCAGCATCAGAGGAGCTGCCATTTGAACCAGATCTCAGCTTTCTGTATTCAAGACTTGATCCCCCAAGGAGTTCTTTCCTTGGGGAATATGAGTGTGTCTGGGGGTGGGGGGCAGATAAGAAGAGCATCCTTCCTGAAAGGAACTGAAGGAAGTTGTTTTTGTCTTGGATGCCAAAGCAACTTCCCTCTCACCCTTTTGGACAGTAAGAGTGTTCAGCCCCTTCCTGAGGGCAAGTTTGGGAGTGGGGACAGAGGAAGGCTTTTCAGGGATGGAAGCTGGGAGCTGGGATGCAGATTAATTTCAAAGAAGGAAAGAGAAGCCACTGCTCTGGAGAAACAAACACACACAGAGCTGCAGGTTGGTATCTGGCTCCAATCAATGCCCTTAATTGCCTTTTTCTTTCTTGCCATCACGGTGGCTCTTCAGTCTCCCTGTATTGCTTTTATTATTTTTTTCCCCCTTTCATACGCACACACTACACACACTCTCTTCCTCTCCCCCCGCCTTTCCTCTGCTCCAGCACCACCAGCACCAGCCACCAGGACAAGTTGCTACGGAAACGGCTGCATGGCAACCGGCTCAGAGCCTGGGGTCCGTCTGCTGCTGCCGCCGCTGCTGCCGCCGCCGCTTCTCCGGCTGGCTCATTCTCCAGCGCGTTTCCCTCCTCGCTAGATGGTGTGCGAGACACCCGAGACTAGACACGCTCCGGACGCGGGTAGCGAGAGCGGAGGAAGGCAAGGCAAGCCAAGCCAGAGCAAAGCGGGCGGCGGGAAGCGAGAAGAAGCGAGGCGAACGCACGGCTTGCCCGGACCGAGGAAGGAGGCTGCTCCCTGCCCGCCTGCCTGCCTGCCTGCCTTGGGGGGCTCGTGGAGGAGCCGGAGCCGAGAGCCGGAGCGCAGCCTTCGCGCAGGCATGGACATGATGCTCCTGGTTCAGGGCGCTTGTTGCTCCAACCAGTGGCTGGCCGCGGTGCTGCTGAGTCTCTGCTGCTTGTTGCCCTCCTGCCTGCCTGCCGGCCAAAATGTGGACTTCCCAGGGACAGCTGTGGAGAACCTGGTGGTCAGGAAAGGGGACACGGCTGTGCTTAGGTAGGGCTCGCCCGGGAAACCTTTGGATTTTGATCCGCTCCCTCTATGTGTGTGGTTTGTGTGCCCCCCCCCCCAAACGGGCTGAAACGGCTTGCAAAGAAGGAGAGGGTCTCGTTCCTCTTTCGCCGGCTTCCTTGTATGCAGTGCACCAAAAGGGTCCAAGCGGTTGGCGCCGAGCGTTTGGCTGGGGACAGACGAGAGAGGGTCTCACTTGGAAACTAGTGCTCTGCTCGGTCATGCCTGCTGAGTGGCTCTCTCACAGACCCCCCCCCCCATTATTGATCTCCCCCTTCCGGTTTTGACTCTTTCACCTGTCCAGTGGAATTAAAAGCGGGGTCCTCACTCCACCCCCCCCCCCCCCGACTGGTGGCTCTTTAAACTGAACTTTAGACGCATCCCCCTTTTGCTCCCCTGCAGACTTTTCTAATCTATCAAGTGTGTGCGTGCGTGGAGGGCGGGGTGGGTGGGAGAGATTTTGCCATAAGATCGCCCTTCGGAATTACTTTGCAGCTTCTTCCTCAGGCATGTCCCTCCCGCTCCTTGTTAAGCTTCTGGAAGCCGTAATGGCTCGTCAGAGAACAGCGGACCCGCTTTCCTCCCTCCCCTCCCAGCTTTGCAAGCAAAGCGGCTGCAGTGCAGAACAAGCTTTTGCAAAAAAAACAAACAAACCCCACAACACCTCCTTTGGGAGAAACGCAAGTTGATGCTCGGCAGAGTGGCCTGAGTGATGTTCGAGACCCCCTTCCTCAGAGGTGCGCCCGCCCCCCTCCCTTGGTTGAAACTCCCATCCAGATGCTTGCTGCATTAACTGACGGTGCAGTTCCAGGCATCCGAGAGTGCCATGGCATGGGATATCACGGACATGTAGCGAAGCGTTTCTCGAGAGATTTATTTCCGCGGTCCATCTGTAATAAATGAGCAGAGCACTCCGCAGTGCATTAAGGAACGCTGTTTGCCTAGGACTGGTGTATATATTATTATGTTTAATTGGGCAGTTCGTAGAAAGCACTGATCTCTTCTGCACAGAAAGGAGTTCCGGTTTAGACCTTGGCATGTAAAGATGATTTAAGGACGCACATTGACACTTAGCTTGTAAACTGCAGAGCCCCAGGCCCAATTAGTTGATGTTTGGAAGCTGTACAGAATAGCCCATCGTTGGTTTGTTGGTTTGGGGGATGTAATCCAAAAGGTCTCTCAGGTAAACAGTCGATGGATGCCAAAGGTTGTGACTTGCCTTTGGAATGGGAAGTTTGTTCGTGGAAGTTGGAATGGAGATCATTGATGCTCGATTGAATTTCTCTGGGGTAGTGCCTGATGTTTGTAACAAGATCTGCAGTGCACATTGCTCAGCAGCATTAACAGTTCACTGAGGGTACAGATAGGTGCATGTCACTTAAGGTTGCTGACATTTTCATAACAATGCCTATAGGTGGGGCAGCCAGCTGGGGTCTTGCTGATTTCCCCAAGATGTTTGATATTAAAAGCCGTTTTGCTTCTAGAAGATTGTGTGCATGTAGCAATTGCTTTTTTTAATGATGGTTGCCTTCCATATGGCAACAAGCCACTGGGCAAGTGGAAAAAAAATGTTTACCACTAGCAATCTATTAGCAATGTGATTTCTTTCTCTCGGTTTGGAGTTCATTAATCCTCTGTTTTTAATTTGTATTTTTTTCCTCCCTGGGCTTAACTTTCTGTTGACACATTTGGCATTGCCAAGACAATCCTCTGGTAACATTTGAATTGACTTTCTTTCTCCTAAGAATAAAGACAGAGACTGAGACTTCTCATACATGGGGAGGTGAGCCTGCTGCAGTTTTAGGTGTTAAGATATTACCGGCTGTGCTGTTTGCCATTAAGGAGCCAGGTTCATAAAGCAACTTCATCAGGAGCATTGCTTTTCCTCAGTGTTGCACAACTCTTGCAGAAAGGCTGCAGAAACATACTCCATTGCTTCAAAATTGTGGCATTGTCAGCGCAGCCCTGTTTATTTTCCTGACTGTTCCGATGTGGTAGATGCCGAGAGCACATTCAGTGGCTGTGCACTGCTGCTTGACACATTTTTCATCCGTAGTAATATGCTGTAGTTACACTCCCTGGTTTTGGAATACATTGGAATTTACTCTTCTTGGCCTCCCGTGCTGCAGACAGAAAGTAAATGCAGCCGAAGCCTCTTTATTTGCATTGCCTCTAATGTAAAGATAGCAACAGAGTGGATGAGCGGAGTCCATCCATTCAGGTTCGAACTCAGGCTAGTGTTAGTGGCCACTGAACAACACTGTTAAATAGAAGCCTGAAACAACCGAAGATGCTCGTGGGTGGGTTACAGTCAGACATTACTACAATGTATGTCATTTTCTAAGGGTAAGAAGCGGAAAACAGTTTTTTAAAATGAAATGGGAAGAATTTTGGGGACAAACAATCATTTTCCTCTCATAAATTGGATGAATGTCTGTTTTGGAAAGCAAGTGTCAGTGAGAATAGAATCCACTATATGATTTCACAGAGAACAGCATATGCATTACTGCTAGGTGGGGAACATGGAAGGCATATTAGGAGGAAACCTAGAACATTTATTAAGGAATAACTCATTTGGGGCAATTGCACATATTCAACTTTGTCTTTTGCTTGAGAGCAAAGTTTACTTCCATTTAAGCCAAAAGGATTACATTTGCAATTAAGGTACACAGGCTATAAAGGAGCTACTTAACCATCAGATGCGGCTTTCAAGTGCTTCTCCAGAATCTTGTCCCCATGGACGATGAACAGCTTAAATAAAAACACATAAAACCTGAAGCATTTTAAATTAATGACAGTCTACAAGAAAGGCCTTTTAAGTGTCACATTAGGATGTAGCAGTCTTACGCAAACAGATGGGGAATGCAGAATGCATATTGCACATGTTGCAATGAATCTCTTGTTCCCCCCCTCTAACAGTTTATTTTCTTCTAATTGCCTTAGACTAGGGTATCATGAGACTTTGTATGACTGTATATTGCACTTCATGAAGTAACATAAATATATGAATTATTTCTTCTACACTGAACTTATGTAAACCTCCATTACTGCCCCCCAGCGCACGCGCGTGCGCACACACACACACACACACACTTTAGGGTTGAACTGTGATTTAAAAACAGTGACAAGTTATTTTGCAGAAAAGGGAGTCTCTCTAAGGGAACTACATAGTTAGCATATTACAATCAGGAAACCTCTAATTAAAAGCCTTAAATCACCCAATATGACTGCTAGATCTTTTTGAAAGTGCCGGAACATCTGAGTCATTCTTTTGGTATTTTGAGTCAGCAGTTTGATTGTTTAATGAAAGAAATATAATGTTAATATATATAATATTACAGGTGTCTTAAGTATATGATAGGTGCACTCTTGAAAACTTCAACAGCTCAGGCATTTCATTTGAGATCTTGTGTGGACTTGACCATGGAGTCATGTTGAAAACTCACAGTGATATATATGCAAGCCAGTTGAAATCAATAAGACCTGCAGATAGAATTCTGGAAGCAGACTTCTGCTTCTTAAGCAATCTTAAGATACAGCAACCATTATTGGTACTCTGAGGTAATAGAAGAAGTGTCTGATTTCAAAGCTAAGGTGTGCATTGTGTAGCATTTCCCTTGTGACTTTTCAGTGCACATATAGAAATAAATGTGGTAGATTCAGGCTTGGTTTTTTTAAAAAAGCTTAAAGATGTCCAGCAGAACATTATTAAGAAAAAGAAATCTGAATAGATTGTGCTAGTTGTTTAGCAGTCTCCTCCTAGCTACAATCAAGTATGGACCATCTTACTGGAGTCTGCCAGTAGTCTTTATTTGAAGAAACATGCTGGTTTGGTGTAGAGAACCAGTTGGGTGTAGTGGTTAAGTGCGTGGACTCTAATCTGGGAGAACCAGGTTTGATTCCCAACTCCTCCACTTTGCAGCCGCTGGATGACCTTGGGCAAGCCATAGTTCTGGCACAGCTGTTTTTGAAAAGGAGCGGTTTCTGTCAGCCCCACCTACCTCACAGGGTGTCTGTTGTGGGGAGGGGAAGGGAAAGGAGTTCGTAAGCCACTCTGAGACTCCTTTGGGTAGTGAAGGGTCTAATCTAATCTCCTCTCCTCTTCTCTTCTCTTCTTCTATAAAGTCTCTTACTACTCTAAAGCATAATAGTTCCACAGATCAAAATGAAGTTTCCAGTTCAATAAAACATGCTACTGTAGGTTATTATGTACAGTGACTACGGCAGATCCTTTAAAACCAACAAAGTTTAATTCTGGATATAAGCTTTCATGGGCATGCACACAGAAGTATCTGAAGAAGTGTGCTTGCACACAAAAACTTATAAAACTCTGTTGGCCTTAAAGGTGCCACTGGACTCAAACTTTGTTCTGCTGTTTCAGACCAACACAGCTAACCCACCTGGATGTATATGTTATGGATTAGAGCTACCATTTTGTTCTGCCAGCACCTGGTGCACAAACCTTTCTATCTTGCATCAGTTCAAGAATGTCTTGCATGAGTGGAAGGGTACTTGTTCTGAAGAACCATGCCAGAGGAACAAAATTGATCTCACGTTCCCCTCCAAAAAAGGGGGGGGGAATAGAAAGGGGATGAAAAAAATCTATATAAAACTAACCAAAGTAATAGAAATCTTTATATATAAAGTCATTTCCCAGGCACAGTCTCTTTGTGACACTCTAGCATGCCAGGGCTCTTTTTGTAGAAAAAGCCCAGCAGGAACTCATTAGCATAATAGGCCACACCCTGACAGCACAGCTCATTAGCACATTAGGCCGCACCCCCATGTTACCAGAAGTGTGGTCATCCAGCCATACCCACCTTTTGCTTCTTATTCTGTTTACCTTGTTTGTTGTCAAAACCCAGGGCTTTTTTGTAGCAGGAACTCCTTTGCATGTTAGGCCACACACCCCTAATGTAGCCAATTCTAATGAGTTTCTGTTGTTGGGTGTGGTTTATTATGCTAATGAGTTCCAGCTGGGCATG